GTGAGATTATAACGAACTTGTTGGGTTTTAATATCCTACTTTTTGCTTGGTTAAATGTTGGCAATTGGAACGGTTTGAGAGTAAAGCTCTCTTTTAAATTTGCCTAATAGCATGTTGAGTATTGGGTCAAATTGGTAAGTGAAATTATCCATCGAATCCGATCAACTCGTCGATTGTTTGGATGATAAGGCATAGCCTTCCACCTCTGTGTCTTACAAACATGTAAGGGTATACTAGTATTTTAGGATAACTAGCTAACCTCGAACTAGAACCCGAATGGGTTAGGCCGAGGGATTAAGATGGTGGGTTTCCTTTTTGGGTAATTCCGAGGTGCCCGTCATTCACGATGAAAAGGTCTTTAGACCGTCATCCGTGATGGAGGGATGGATTGCGTACAATCCCCTCTTGGTATGTTACATTGGAGACTAGAGGGTTATGGGTCATTTGACGCCTTTCGCAAACTAATAAATAAATCGACTTACATGTACTTTGGGCTTCAATTCCTTATGTACATATTGTGGATCTTTTCTTGAGGATTGTGATCTTGTGTTTGTTATGTGTAACTATATGACGTCTCATATACGAATAATTAGGTTGGAAAATCGGGTCCAGCCAGCCCTAATTAAGGCCTAGCGGAGTTTCCTTTGCGATGTGTTCATCACAATTACTTGAGAATAAAAGGTTGTGTGTGTGAGTTATCCTTATGTGATATGTGTCATCTTATTCAAATTATCTTTTTCAAATGATTTTGTGGCATTTACACGTGAATCATGACTTATACCATATTAATTTATCTTTGATTAATTGCGCTTACTCAACCGTCGTGTTTACCCTCTTTCTACAAACTTTTGTAGGTGATGGTACTTCTATTATACTTAAATGATGCATCCACGTCATATGATCTATCGGGGGAATTAGGACTACTTTATTTTCTAGACTGTTTTTTAAATCCATTATTAATGTTTAAGAACTAATGTCTTTTGAACTAATTTCCGACTTATGTTTTTGACTCGAGGATTATTTATTTAAATGATAAGCCGGTGCATTTTTGTTTTAAATCCTTATTTGGTTGATTGTATTCATTATTTTAGCCTTAGCACCACAACGTAGGGCTCGTTGGTTGATGAATGAGCCTTCCGGTGTGGCGTGCGGTTTGAACCTTCCGGTGTGGCATGACGGTGACACTCCGGTTTGAGCCGACCGAGGTGTTACAAAGTATATCCTCGATCCATCAAATGTGTTTTACTTAAGTACTCTCAAGTTCAAAAAGAATATAGATGTTATTCTCCTCTTATTCGTCGATATTACCTTAGTGCAAATGTCACGTTCTTTGGATCTTCACCATACTTTACAGTGTCATCATCTCCATCCTCAATAACTCCTCTTCCATTTGTCCCCATTCTCAAGCCTTTGCTTCAGGTCTATAGTTGCCATAGATGGCAGCGTCAAAACACACCTTCTTCACCATCACCTAAGCCTATTGATGACTCATCTCCGATTCCATCGCCTTCCCCGGCTGCCACTATTGTCATAGCGTCGCCATGACATCCTGGCGCTTTCTTGGAAGCGCCAGAACTCATCGCCTCGCCTCATTAGACAAAGGGGTGTGGAAATGCATTTGGGTGACGCTATGGTGACTCTTTAATGACGCCATGGCGACACCATAGCACTCTTCTGGCTAGCCCAGAACATTGCGAGTCGTAAGATTAGCCCAGGCCACAAACAATACCTACCTTAGCCCCTAAACCTTTGAACTTGATCGAACCCCTCTGCCCCTGCTCTCTCAAATCTCTTCCTCTTTTTTCCCTAATCGCTTTGGTCTCTTCCTTCATCCCACCGCGTTATCCCGTTAGTGTTTGTATTCACTATATTTTAAATATTTTTAAATTTCTAATCTAAGTTAGTGCTCCAACCCCACTACCTCCACTTTACTAGTGCTATTTTTTTTTTTTTATTCTATTATAGTATTAGTTTATTATATTATTATTTATTGTATAGTTATTTATTACTAGAAATTCAATAATTTAATACTTATAAGATATAATATATACATATATAAACTTTTATGCACAATGCGCCGTGTTCGTCATTTTGTCGCCATGACGGGCGCCATGTCGCTATGGCAGCATAGCGGTCTACAGGCTCCGTGCCGCAAAAAGGCGCCATGACAACCTTGTTGGCTGCAACCCCTCAGTCACCTGTCGTCTTACGTCGAGGTACTCAGTCCACTTGTAATCCGAATCCTATTTATGATTTTCTTAGTTATCACTGCTTATCTCATTGCATGTGTAGTGTTGTGACTGCTTTAGACTCTGTCACTGTTCCTCGCTCTTGGCATGAGGCTTTGGGTCGTTAAGGGTGGTGTCAGGCTATATGAAGGAAATGCTTGCTTTGCATACTAATAATATTTGGGAGTTTGTGCAGTTAAAGTTGGACCTGATGGTCGCATTGTACGACTTAAAACTCGACTTGTTGCAAAGGGCTTTAGTCAAAGTGTATGGAGAGGATTATACAAAAACCTTCTCTCTCATTGCCAAAATGTCATATGTTCGTCTTTTTCTTTCGATGGCAGCAATGCGTGGTTGGGAAAGATACACTAGGCGAACCATGTGTGGCAGATGACCTGAGGCGTGGGGGTTTGAACCTATGACCTCACGGTCACAATTTCAACCCCTACACCACCAGGCCATCCCTTACGGGACAACCTCCTGGTTTTGTTGCTCAAGGGGAGTCTGGTCTTATATGTCGCCTTCGCTGTTCTTGAAATAGTCTCCACGGGCGTGGTTTGGACGTTTCAGTCTTGCTATTAAAGAATATGGTATGACAAAATGTTCGTCTGATCATACCGTATTCTTCAAGCATAATTTAAAAGGGCGATGCATTTACTTAATTTTCTATGTTGATATTATCATCACTAGAGATGATATGGATGGTATTACAAAGTTAAGGTATATTTACACAATCATTTATAGACCAAAGACTTGGGACCACTACGATACTTCTTAGGAATTGAGATTGCTCAATTGAAGAATGGTGTTATACTATCTCAGAGGAAGTATGTTTTTGATATGTTGGAAGAAATAGGTATGAATGAATATAAAGTTATGGATTCCCTTACAGATCCAAATATAAAATTGCTTCCAGAACAGGGGGAGCCATTAACTAATATTGATGTTGGATGATATAAAAGGTTGGTTGGAAAGCTTAATTATCTAATTGGAAGGCACTTATGCCTATTTTGCAGTATATTAGAGGGTCTCCCGAAAAAGGATTACTTTATACAAATCATGGTCATTCTGAAATTGTTGGATATTCAGATGCTAATAGGGCGGGGTCTCCAATCGATAGCGTTCTACCTCTAGTTATTGCATGTTTATTGGAGGCAATTTGATATCTTGGAAAAGTAAGAAACAAGAAATGGTTGTGCGCTCTAGTGCTGAAGTTGAGATCGTGCTATGGAGCTTCTCTGGATTAAACAATTACTTTAAACTCAAGTTTTGTGATGTGACGAAGATGAAGTTATGGTGTGATAACTAAGCAGCACTACATATTGCATCAAATCCAGTATTTCATAAACGAACAAAGCATATCGAAATAGATTCGTGAGAGAGAAAGTGTTATCTGGATTTATAAATACCAAATATGTGTCTTCAAATGATCAACTTGGAGACATATTTACAAAAGCTCTTAGTGGTCCTAGATCCTAGTCCATTTGCAACAAGCTTGGATAGTTTCACTTGTTAGATTTGATAGATTCATATTTATATCCATATTTATATCCATATTCATATCCATATCCATATCTATCATATCATTTCATATCATATCATATCATATCATATCATATATATGATTTAGTTTGTTATGATAGATTTTTAAATACCTTTATATATATGTTCTCTTCTTTTTTTACGATGGAATGAAAAACTCTCTTCGTCCGTCTCTAAGGGCCACATTTACCTTTTGCGTCATTATACTTAAAATTAAAAATATCATTATATTTGTATAATTTTTATACAGATGTCCTTCTATTTGTATTATAAGACACTAATTGAAATATTTTTGCAAATTTTTCTTAATTTGTACTACGTTTTGATATAACAATTAATATTCAAAGATCAACACGCAAAAAGTAAATAAGACCCTTAGAGCCGGACGGAGGTAGTAATATTTTGTACTCACATTATGCTGTTCGGACTAGTGCAGACCTGAATTTCACCTAGTAAACAATCCCCAAGATATTTTTCATCGGAAACAACTGGGGAATTGTTACCCCCAGTGTTTTGGCTGCTTTAGAATTTTGCTAGTGGAAGAAGATTACAAATGGTTTGGCTTCAGCAAACCTGAGCCGCTGAGTATTGTAGCCGTTATCTAGGATCATCATGGACACATCCTTATCATCCTAAATTTCAATAAAGCAGAAATCTCTGCCATCGTCACACCCTTTGAATGTATCTCACAAGCTCAGCTAGATCTACTACCCACGATTGTCCTTGAATGTCATTCAAAATAAGCCCTTAGATGGATGCATACTCATCTCCTCCTAAACTTAATTGCAAAATCAATAAGCTAGAAGACACCATCTCTAAAAGCCCTTGTATCATCTTCCAACGCCGCAATCTCAATGAGATGGCAGATTTTTTTGTGAAGCATGAGCGAGGGAAATGAAGATAACAATGCTAGAGCAAGTAAATTCAATGAGAAACACATCCTATAAAGCAGTTTTTGTATTTTGGTTCTTGAAGATAACAATGCTGGAGCAAGTAGATTCAATGAGAAACACATCCTATAAAGCAGTTTTTGTATTTTGGTTCTTGAGTTTTTTTAGCTTAGGGGTTCATTTTCCCTCCATAAAGATCCCTTCCCATTCTAATGCCGCTACCCAAATGATAATTAAATAATGTTCTTTCAGAACAAATATTACCGGTTGTGAACCCCAAAGTATTAAATTACTTCATTCAAAATGATGAGTATGAAAACCAAAACATAAGAATTTTTACCTGGCTCGACTATCAATGCTCCAATTCTGGAAAGTCCTTTGGCATACAAAAAGGGTACCAGATTATGCAATATCGAGGAAGCATAAAGGCTAGCAAGACTTGAATCATCTCGACCGCTTTCAAAAATCTCATTACGTGACTTGAAAGCTGCAAAAGAGTCCAGTTTTTAATAGAAGAAAATAAACAGGAAATTATTGAATATGTAAGTTGATGATGAGCAGTGAGTTAGTTACACAGTTGCTCCTGTCCAGATTTCTGAGATTGCATTTCCTCAGGGAGAGAAACTTTCCAAATACCATCATACATAGATACTGTGGGTGGATCTAAAAAGATGCCCCTTCCTCTATACCTGTAGTACTCATGATAGATTTTTGTGAACACGAAAAAAAAAAAAATGTATTCATAAAAGAAAAGAGAAGAAATGAAAACATAGGGCTGGTCTGGCTGGACTTTAGATATTAGCAAAAAAAGAAAATATACATCAAGAAAGTATTTATGCATGAAAGGTCATCAGATAAAAAAGAAAGTATGACAATAGCGTAGTCACAAGAGATCACAAGATACCTTAAGTTTAACAAGCTATGAAAACATTGAATAGTTCGGAGACTGCTGTAATTATGTCCAAATATCTAAAATTTTCAAGGATATGCCCACTGAACAAGAGAAAATTATATTTTGTACAATATGTTACATATATTGAACATTGTCAAAACTGTGATTGTATTTGTGTATTTCAGGAAGTTTTATATTTGTTGTGCTGTATTCCTATAACAGTGTATGTTTCCATTATTAGGTTTATGTATTTAGGATCAATCCCATAATCACAGGGATCTGTTTTCCTTAGAATTAGTTGTCCTAAAATAGACTTTAGACTCATGTATATATAGAGGTTAAGTAACCTCATAATTGATATAAGAAAGAATATTATTTCTTCCAGAATTTAAGATGGTGTCAGAGCATTCGATCATTGGGAGTCTCTGACCGTAATTATAAACCTAAGTTGCAGCCTTCATCGTTGCGCTACCTTTAAGTCCTATCGCAGCCTTCATTGCAGCGCAACCCTCTTTACCTTGATCGCGTTTGGTCATGGATGAGGTCGTGAACCTGGAAACTGGGGACAAACCCCAGACTGTTGGAGAATTGCAGAATGTTCATTCTGCTTATCGGCTAAATGGGAAGAATTATCTCAAATGGGAGGCAGTAAAACAAACTTATTCTAAGGCCAAGGATGCTGCTCAAATTTATGATGTAAAGGTGAAAACCGTGGCTGCCAAACAGGGAAATAGATCTGTTACAGAATATGCCAATCAACTCAAGTCTTTATGGATGGAATTGGACCACTATAGAGTTATAAAAGCAAAGTGTTCAGAAGACTCAGCCATTCTAAAGGAGTATATTGAACAAGATAGAGTCTATGACTTTTTGGTAGGCCTAAATCCTGAATATGACCAGGTCCGAATTCAAATCCTGGGAAAAGATAAAGTCCCAGGGCTTAATGAAGTGGTAGCCATTATCCGGAGTGAAGAAAGCAGGAGAGGACTAATGCTAGAGACCTCAACTGTTGAAAGCTCTGGAATGATAGCGGAAGGAGGAAGAATCGTTGTTGCTAACCAGAGGAAGAGCTGGGTTCCCAATATAGAGAAAAAACATGAGGAGGTTTGGTGTACCCATTGTAACAAACTGCACCAAGGGAGAAGTACTGGAAATTACATAGAAAACCCCCAAGCCGAGAATGGGGACCAAAAAGAGGCCCTCCGAAAAAAGGAAGGCAAGGGCAAGCACACATTGCTAATGGACAAAGTGAAGAATCTGTCCATCTGAATCATGTAGAGATAGAACGGGTACGATCCATCCTCAATAAATTGGAGAACCCCACAGGTACAGGTACATGCTCCGTAACATATTCGGATAAGTTTCCATTTCCCTTTGGGCTTAATGTTTCAGATACACCATTTACACATTACTGGATATTAGACTCTGGAGCCACTGACCATATGACCCCTCTACCCAAATACTTCTCCACATATTCCCCTTGTCCTAGCAACAAGAAAATTTCTACAGCAGATGGAACCTTTATAACTGCAGCAGGACAAGGAGAGGTCCAGATAAGCCCATCCATGACATTAAAAAATGTCCTTCATGTCCCTAAACTATCTACCAATCTGATTTCTATACAGAAACTCACAAAAGACCTCCTATGTAATGTTGTTTTTTATAGCAACTCTTGTGTACTGCAGGACAAGAACTCGGGGAGGACGATTGGACATGCTAAAGAATGGAATGGCCTTTACTACATGGAGGAGCCTAATCTGCCTACCAATAGCCACTCTCTCATATCTGAATCCGCCATGACCAATAAAGAGAAAGCCCAACTTTACCATTGCCGTCTAGGACATCCTTCATTTCGAGTTATAAAGGTGCTTTTTCCGTCTGTGTTTCAAAATTTAAATGTGGAAAGTCTCCATTGGAGGTGTGTGAGTTTGCTAAACACAAGCGTGTACCTTTTCCTATTAGCACCAAGATGAGTTCTTTCCCTTTTTATCTTGTTCACACGGATGTATGGGGTCCTGCTCATGTTCTTAATATCTCAGGTGCTAAATGGTTTTTAACCTTTATAGATGATTACCCGGGTGACTTGGGTTTTTTTATTGAAACAAAAATCTGAGGTTAGCTCCGTATTTGTTCAATTTGTCTCAATGATTAAAAATCAATTTGGGGTCGGTATCAAAAGAGTTAGGTCTGACAATGCCAAAGACTACTTTAACCTTGTCCTAAACTCTTTTTGTCACAAGGAAGGGATAATCCATGTCGTCATGTGTGAGCACACCTCAACAAAATGGGATTGCAGAGAGAAAAAATGGGCACCTATCAGATCAAACTAGAGCCCTACTTTTTCAAAACCATGTTCCTAAGAGATTTTGGGGGGAAGCCCTTCTTACTGCCACTTATCTAATAAATAGGTTACCCACTAAAATCTTCAACTCAAAAAGCCCCATGGAAGTTCTATCCTCATTCTACCCACACTTGGATCCTACAAATAAACTCCAACCTAGAATATTTGGGTGTGTATCCTTTGTGCAAGTTCATAATAATGAAAGGAGAAAATTGGACCCTAGGGCTATCAAATGTGTATTCTTAGGGTATTCTACCACACAAAAGGGATACAAATGCTTTCACCCATTATCAAAAAGATTTTATGTGTCAAGAGATGTCACCTTCAACGAACAAGAGAGCTACTTCAAGCAGCCTCATCTTCAGGGGGAGAATGTAAGAAAGGAAGATGAGCCTCTCATGCTTCCAAATATGACATTTGGACCTGAAATTGGGACAAATGGCATCGCTGTCCCTGAAATTGAGGGAAGACCTGCACCTGAACCTGAAATACCAGTACCTGAACCTGCACCTAAACCAACAAAAATACCTGCACCTGAATCGGCACTGGGAAATTTGGGAAGAATATGGTGTATTCAAGGAGAGGAAAGGCCATTCCAGAATCTGGCAGTGTCCAAGAATCCAACCCATCATCACTGCATGAGGTAACACCTTAGAAAGGAAACTACCCATTGCCCTTAGAAAGGAAACCAGAACCTGCACCCGACAACCGCTTTATCCACTATCAAATTTTTTATCCTTTGAAAAATTCTCGCCTACCTATAAAACCTTTCTCACAAACCTCAACTCCATACACACACCTTCCTCTGTATCTGAAGCATTGTCTGACAGGAAATGGAAACATGCCATGGATGTGGAAATGGAGGCGTTGAACAAAAGTAGGACCTGGGAACTTGTCACTCTACCACCCGGAAAAAAACCCGTAGGATGCAAGTGGGTATATGCAGTAAAGTACAGGGCTGATGGGACCATCGAACGTTACAAGGCAAGGTTAGTGGCCAAAGGCTTCACTCAACCCTATGGAGTTGATTACTTAGAGACATTTGCCCCGGTTGCTAAGATGAACATGGTCAGAGTAATATTGTCATTGGCAGCAAATCATGATTGGGACCTGCAACAATTTGATGTGAAGAATGCTTTTTTGCATGGAGACCTTGAAGAAGAAATATACATGGAGTTGCCCCCTGGGAACTGTTTGCAAGTTGAGAAAGGCTCTATATGGGCTGAAACAATCTCCAAGAGCATGGTTTGGAAGATTCACCAAAGTGATGACAAGTTTAGGCTACAGACAAAGCCAAGGGGATCACACATTATTTATCAAACATTCAGTTTCAGGGGGAGTAACAATTTTGTTAGTGTATGTAGATGATATTATAGTAAGTGGGGATGACAAGAAGGAGCAACAAGTGTTAAGTGAATGCCTTGCTACAGAATTCGAGATCAAGACACTTGGGAAACTTAAATATTTTTTGGGAATTGAAGTGGCCCATTCCATGAAAGGAATCTTCATATCTCAACAAAAGTATATTACTGACTTGCTTAAAGAAACAGGTAAGACAGCCTGCAGACCAGCGAGTACTCCGGTTGACCCAAATATAAAGTTGGGAAGTGTAGAGGATGATATTGCTGTGGACAAGGAAATGTATCAAAGACTTGTGGGCAGACTTATTTACTTGTCTCACACTAGACCAGACATTGCTTTTGCTGTTAGTTTAGTCAGCCAGTTTATGCACCAACCAAAGGAAGCACATTTACAAGCTGCTCTTAGAATTGTCCAGTACTTGAAAGGGACCTCCGGAAGAGGGATTTTGTTCAAACGAAACAAGAGTGTAAGTCTTGAAGCATATACGGATGCAGACTATGCGGGGTCAGTAGTAGATAGGAGATCAACCACTGGATATTGCACCTTCCTTGGTGGAAACTTAGTGACTTGGAAGAGTAAAAAACAGAGTGTAGTAGCTAGATCAAGTGCTGAAGTAGAATTTCGAGCAATGGCCCATGGAATATGTGAACTTCTATGGCTGAAAATCATATTGGAGGACTTGAAGATAAGATGGGATGGACCTATGAGGTTATATTGTGACAATAAATCTACAATTAGTATAGCCCACAACCCGGTACAGCATGATAGAACTAAACATATCGAGGTTGACAGACACTTTATCAAGGAGAAACTAGACAGTGGCATGATTTGCACACCATATGTATCCACTCAGAATCAACTTGCAGACATACTCACCAAGGGGCTAAACAGCATCAACTTTGAAGAATTATATCCAAGCTAGGAATGAAAAACACCTATTCACCAGCTCGAGGGAGAGTGTCAAAACTGTGATTGTATTTGTGTATTCTAGGAAGTTTTATATTTGCTGTGTTGTATTCCTATAACAGTGTATGTTTCCATTATTAGGTTTATGTATTTAGGATCAATCCCATAATCAAAGGGATTTGTTTTTCCTTAGAATTAGCTGTCTTAAAATAGACTTTAGACTCATGTATATATAGAGGTTAAGTAACCTCATAATTGATATAAGAAAGAATATTATTTCTTCCAAATTTAAAAAGATGCCCCTTCCTCTATACCTGTAGTACTCATGATAGATTTTTGTGAACACGAAAAAAAAAAAAAAAAGTATTCATAAAGAAAAGAGAAGAAATGAAAACATAGGGCTGGTCTGGCTGGACTTTAGATATTAGCCAAAAAAGAAAATATACATCAAGAAAGTATTTATGCATGAAAGGTCATCAAATAAAAAAGAAGAGTGACAATAGCGTAGTCACAAGAGATCACAAGATACCTTAAGTTTAACAAGCTGTGAAAAGATTGAATGGTTCGAAGACTGCTGTAATTATGTCCAAATATCTAAAATTTTCAAGGATATGCTCACTGAACAAGAGAAAATTATATTTTGTACAATATGTTACATATATTGAACATGAATTACCTAATATAGTCAAAGATTAATTTCATCTTGACACGAACTTGCACTTAAGACCTTTCTATTTTACAGAATGAATTTCACGGTTGATTATGTAGTGGAAGCACGATATAGGTTTGACAGCAAGATTTTCATGACACCATATTTAGATGGATATTCATGCCACAGAAAACATTAAATTTAGAGTTTGTTCACTTTGTATGTTTGGATGGATGTGTCTTTTATGTTAGGTATAGGAAATTGTGTTAATAATAAAAAAATAATAATATCTATGGGACATTGTTCCACCCAAAAACACTAAGGGTGTGTTTGTTTGGGGGTTTAAATTTTGAATTGGGATTTAAATAATAAAAATTTTGAATTTGAATAGTTGTATGATGTGATATAAATAGGTGTTGATGCGATGTTTTGAATATAAAATTGATTTTTAGAATAATATAAAAAATGAAAAATAAGTGTTTGATTTGATGTTTTTTGGGGGAAAAAATGGGATGAATAGTGTATTTAAAATCCAATCCTCCAAACAAACACATCCTAAGTGGACAAAGTTGTAACAAGAAAGAATGTCCTTTTTTAGGAATAAAAACATACCAGGGTTGCTGGAGAAAGCCAGTAAATGGTGATGGTGCCTGGGCTTCCATCGCACCCAATGTATCACCATGATAAGAACCTCTAAGAGCTAAAACCTAAATCAGAGGAGAGAGAAATTCTAGGATTAGCTTCACATAATATTATGAAAAAGAATGCAATCAAACACAGGGTAGCTTTTGTGCCTGTTCATATAGCTAATCAGAAAGTCAACAAAAAAGCATCCAAGGAGATCCTTGGTGAGTCACACCAACAGGCACCTGACAATGCCAACCACGACCAAGAATAGGATAACAGATTTGTAATCACAAATACTGAAGAAGCTAGATAGCAAAAACTATTTTGTTAGAAATTTAGAATAGACTTGCATATGCATAAATATCTTCTCAGGGAGGGGGGATTAGTATAGCAATTTAGAACAACAATACTTGCCTTGAGATCCAAGTGCGACCCATTTGCATCAGCATTGACATGATCAAAAAGCATATCATTATGAGATAAGAACATACGAAATGCCATTTTGATAGCAATTTCTATAGCTGTAGATCCATTGTCAGAGAAGTACACACGGGAAGCCCATCCTATGAACACCACAGTAAACATACAAAATATAAGAGTTCAGTTGACCCACCCCCATTGAAAAAACAGGCATATAGAAGAAAACCACAAAGATACAAGCAGAAGACTGAAATATAATATGGTCACCATGTTTATTTCATTTTGATTGGATAACATCTCTTAAATGAGAAAAAAATATTGTTCCATAATCAGTTTATAACTCCTCTTGCTAAGTTGATGGTTTTTGTAAATGGGAGTCAATAAAGTGTATTCAGATGAATAATGCATCTTAGTATGTGCTACCCATTTTAAAAAAATATTTATAACACAGGTCACAAAATTTTTCTTCAAGCAAACTGGGTATCTTAAATTACATAGCCGTTGAAAAGTAGTAATGGCAAGTGTGAAAAAACAAATAATTAAAATAAATAATACTTGGGTGGGGGGTGGCTTGTCTAATGTATATGTTAAGTAACTAGGAATATGCCTATATTCTTTTTCTTTCTTTTTTTTTTCGGAGAATATGCCTATGTTCTTATTTATAAAGTCAGTTAATCTAGAAACTTGCCTTTTCCCACACCTTCAACCAGCAGTTCGGCTAATTCTAGAGATGGCTCATGGACGTTCTCAGGAAACATTACATGCCCATATCTTGCAGCAGTGTAACCCATGTCTCTAGCAAGTTCAGTCTGTAACCACCTAAATAAAACAACAGTAATGTAACTTGTAGAAACACCAATTAAGTAATCGGGTGTGTTTGCTTGGGGTTTTGATTTGAATAGTCAAATTTTGAATTTGAATAGTTGTTTGATCTAATATATATATATATATGAATTGCTATGATGTGATATTTTGAATATAATTTAAAAAATAGGTATTTGATTTAATGTTTTTTAAGAAAAAAAAAATTGTGAATAGTATAAACAAAATCAAAACATCCAAACAAACACACCCGATATTTATAAATATTCCAAGGTATGAATAAAATGTCAATACTCAAAAAGAATAAAATAAAATAGTTCAGAAGCAAACTCATGGAGGACTTCATGTCATGAGATTTGCCCATTTGCTATTTCACATGTAGAATTGGCTTTGAATGAAGCAATCAACCTAGGATTAATATCAAGTTTGGCATTGTGGCCAATACATCTCCCACTCATTTAGTATCAAAATCCAAATCACTAAAATAATTGAGTATCTAACTTTACCTGATACAAATAGGCTGTTATTCACTTATTCCCTACAATTTAAATTCAAGCTTTCAGACAGATTTCCTTCTTAGTTAAGAAATTTAATTAACAGTCACCACCAAGCATGTGTGGGTCTCCACATGTCAAAAGAACAAAATTTAAATATGATGCTTGAAAGTAGAAACTGTACAGAAAGAATTACTCTTCAGGTATGTACAGTTTAGAGAGACATTAAGTTGGTGATGCAATCACTGTCATCAGAAGCAAAGAGATTCAATAACATAAACAACTGACCTGCAAATTAGCATCAGGGCCTTGTGTCCACCAACTAGCACATGCATCAAATTGTTGAGCAATCCAATCACAACTCTGAGATCAATTAAAGCATTGAATGAGGTAATCTAAATTTTGTAGCATTATAACTTCCAGCATATTAATGAAATAACACAAGGTTTAGAAGTTCGAGGTAATAATACTATGTATTGTAGATTTACAAGGAACTGCCAATAATACTCTGCTAGTGCACTCAGTAAGACATTTTCACAGGAATTAGCAATAGTACATGCTAAAAAGAAAACAGATCTCTGAAAAGGATCATCTAACCTTGTGAACAGAAAAATTCTCTGCACATCGTGAATCTATAACTGTAACTTTTTCTTCAGGTACTAAGTTATGCTGAGTAAATGGCCACCAGAAGATGTCACATGCTTTCTTTGGCATTTCATGTAATCGTTGTGTTTTTTCTAGGAATGATGAAAGCATTATCTCCTTGAGATGGGTGAAAACTGTATGAGACTTCTCAAACCAGGATATCAGGTCATCTGAAAAGTCTTTGGGAATAGATGGAAGCAAGAGTACAGGCACCCTAGGAAGGAACAGAAACGAGTTTCGATTAGTTTTTTCAATTAATAAACCAAGAACATTTTTAGCAACAGCAAAGAAGAATACAGTATATCTACATGAGAGAGAGAAGATGGACATGCACCACTAATAGTTATAGAGACTACAAGCTCAGTACAACTTGACACCAACTTCTCCATGACAACACGATACCAGTTGATGGAAAAGTATATAAAGAGATAAAAGTTGTTACCTTTTTCGAAAATATGATAACAACGGCACCTCATTCATGAGCCCATGATCTTCGAAAATGACAGCAGCAACATCATATCCTCTAAGCTTAAGACTTTCATATGCAGATATAGTTCCTGAAATACCACCTAATCGTCCATCCCCAACAAGAATAGCAGGCAGGCGGAAAGGGCTGCAACAACAGTTGGAAATATAAGTATAATGGGAAAACTCTTGCTTCCTATGATTAAAACAGTCAACCACATATGTATTCATTTGTTCACATGAATATGAAAACTATCATTTTATGAAACAGTTTCACATAAAGCTTCAACACCTAACAAGGTTAACAATACATTTTATACAGTACTTCAAACAAAATAGAGATACATTGAAAAGATTGCCCAAAATATGCCAATCATTATGCGCCCTACTAATGGCAACTCAATGAAGAAATGCCACATTTAGCACAATAGATTACTTCACTTACGGACAGTGCAGCTGCGGAGCCAGCAACTTTACTTTGAAAAATCAATAAAGGTTCAGGCATTCTAATGTCTTAGGTCATTATCTCTACACTAATCAATTCTATAGAATGGTAAAGTATAGTAGATAAGTAAATACCCACCGGTACAGGTCACACTGAAGAGATCCAGAAGGCCCAGGACTGGCAACACCCCCAGCAGTCTCAATCACATATATAACTTCTGAGTCTTTCATGTCGGACGACGTTCCTACTGAACCACTTACCAAGCATTTCTTCAGCATATCTAAGAGCACTGAATCCTCAACCAGTGCTTCTTCCCGCTCAGCAGCTAAATGAGGCGACACTGCCTCTTGCCACCCATACATCGTCTTGCAAACAAGCTCGGACTGTGGGGATAATTCAATTTCACTGCTCTCGCTCCCCTGCAGTTTCCTTTCTTCGTAGCAATTGACATTTACTAGTCCATTGCCAGAATTTCCAGCTTCCCTGACAATCTCATTGCCGAACCCTTCATTTCTCACGGGGCATCTCATCCTGAGAACAGCATTTGCAGCAGAGGCTGAAGCTTTCAAAACAGAGTTTGATGCGAAAACTGAGAAAGGCAGTGGCTTGTGACTGACGTAGTCGCAGAACTTTCTGTAAACGAAGCGAGAATCGGAGTCTTCAGGAAACCCCGTCTGAACTGGCTTCAGGTAAACAAACCGCTTCCTAGAAATTGAAGAAGAGGAGAGAAAGGACATTGAGAGACCAGCAGAAACAAGGGTTTTGCCGAGGGAGGTGTTGGAAGCCCAAATGGTGTAAATTGGGTGTGTGAGAGGGTACTCAATTCCCGAGTGGAGGCTACGGTGGCGCATAGAATAGAATAGCGGCCCTCGGCGGCGGAGGGAAGCGGCAAAGACGGCGGAGACGAGGGACATGATGAGAAGTTGGTGTGAGTGAGGCGTGTGAGCCCTAACAGACTCAAACTCTCAAACTGTGTGTTTGGGGAGCAGAGAGAGAGAGACTAAATGGGAATAGGGTTTTCAACGGCTACCAGAAAACGGTAGGAAATTCAAACAGTAGGAAATTATAATACTTTCCTTCTATGTCTATATAACAAATACGAAGTTATAAAAATATTAACATTATATTAAAATAAAATAGAAATAAAGGTAAAAAGATTAAATTAATCCTATTACTATTGTATCGTATGATACAAAGATAATGACATATTGTATAATATAAAAATTTGTGTAATATATTGTAAATTGTAAGAGTATTTATAATATTAGGTAAATAATACAATTACTAAATATATAAGGTGTGTTATTTTAAGCGATTGGATTTTGTGTATTGGATTTTGTGTTTAGAATTATATATAGGTTATGTAATATAGGATAATAGAAAATACGAACAAAATAGATATTTAATTTGACTGTATTCTTTGCCCATTTAGAAATAAAATAAAAATATTAAGAAAATAGATGTTTAATTAATTGATAATAGTGAATTATGATATTATTTTATTATATTTTTATATAGGTAGTATTGTTAGTAATTTTATAGTAAGAATTAATATATACAATTAAATAAATTTGAAATATGTGTTTAAATATTATACCTAAATAAAATATATCCAATATCAATATAATTTTATAGAAAATAAAATTTTAAATAATACAAATACATGAAAAATATATTTATTTATATATAATTAAGATAATTATTTTTATAAAAATAATAAAATTTTAAATATTAATAAAAATATTTGTTTATTGATGAGATATATAAAAATAAAAGAATTTTGAATAGTACTCTATATTAAATTGAAAACCGAAAAAAATACATACTTAAAGATGGAAAAAAATAAATTCTTAATCTTAATATCATCGTTTTTTCTGCATCAGCATGCAACGTTGAAAAAAAATATATAAATAAATAATAAATAAAAAATTGTTATGTAATAATAATATAATATAATATTGGTGAATATAATATATATTTATGTTGGCTTAATGTTATGTATTTATGTATGTAAGTATGTATGTCATAATATGTATATAAATATATATACTAATAAGTTGATATATATAAGAGAGAAGATGAGATAGAGAGGGGATGAAGTATATAAATGAATTGGTTCTTGTTTACTATAAGTTACCTCCTATATTTACAGGCATTTGGAGAGTACAAATTGTGGCACCTATATTTACATTATGTGTGTGTATTATTGTACAACACTCCCCCTTGGATGGTTCTATATAAAGAGTGTGCCTCGTTAAAACCTTATTATGAAAAAATACTGTGGAAAAAAATTATAGTGAAGGAAAAAAAGTACATCATTCTTGTATTAATGCGCTCCTCCTATTTTGGACTTTATTTGATGTCTTTCATTCGACACATTCCAATTCCTTGCACCAGTTTGTTGAATGTTGCAGTCGGTAGCGGCTTCGTAACTAAATCTGCAAAATTTTCAGATGATCGAATTTGTTGCACATTAATTTCATCACTTTTCTGAAGATCGTGAGTGAAGAAGAACTTCGGAGATATGTGCTTTGTCCGATCGCCTTTAATATATCCCCATTTTAATTGAGTTATATAAGCTGCATTATTTTCAAATAATATTGTGGGAGGTAAGGTAATATATCATCAGAAATCAAGTCACAATTTTTCAGAATATGGTGAGTCATAGACCTCAACCAAACGCATTCACAACTAGCTTTGTGAATTGCTAAAACCTCAGCAAGGTTTGAAGAAGTTGTTGTTATTATCTGTTTAGCAGATCTCCAAGAGATTGCGGTTTCAACACAAGTAAATAAATAGTCAGTTTGAGATTTTGCTTTGTGTGGATCAGACAGATAACCAGCATCAGCGTAACCAATTAATTTTTTTTCGAGATTCACTCGAATAAAATAAACCGAGGTCATGAGTCCCCTGAAGGTAACGAAAAATGTGTTTAATACCATTCCAATGGCGCTTTGTGGGGGATGCTCTAAACTTGGCCAATAGATTTACTGAAAAAAATATATCTGGCCTGGTACAATTTGCAAGGTACATTAATGCGCCAATAGCGCTGAGATATGGTACCTCGGGGCCAAGTATTTCTTCATTTTCTTCTTTTGGCCTAAATGGATCTTTACTGGGATCAAGGGATCTGACCACCATTGGTGTACTCAGAGAGTGAGATTTATCCATATAAAATTGTTTTAAGACTTTTTGGGTATATGTGGATTGATGGATAAATATTTCATTGTTCACATGATCCATTTGTAATCCCAGACAATATTTTGTCTTTCCAAAATCTTTGATCTCAAATTCTTTCTTAAGATATTCAACTGCAATTTGGATCTCTTCAGGAGTTCCAATTAAATTAAGATCATCAACATATATCGCAATAATGACAAAATTTGATATATTTTTCGTTATAAAGATGCATGGGCATATTGGATCATTAGTATAACCTTCTTTTATTAAACATTCGCTGAGACGGTTATACCATATTCGCCCTAATTGTTTAAGTCCATACAATGACTTTTTCAATTTGATGGAATATGATTCCCTTGGGTTTAATTTGTATACTTCAGACATATTGAATCCCTTAGGAACTTTCATATAGATATCAATATCCAGTGAGCCATAAAGATATGCAGTAACTACGTCTAAAATACGCATATCGAGCTTTTCTCGCACTACTAGGCTTACAAGGTATCTAAATGTTATTTCATAGACAACTGGAGAGTATGTTTCATCAAAATTTACTCTAGATCTTTGTGAGAATTCCTGAGCTACAAGACGGACTTTATATCTCACAATTTCATTATGCTCATTTCTTTTTCGTACAAACACCAATTTGTATCCAACTGGTTTTATACCATCTGGTGTTTGAACAATTGGTTCGAAGATCTCTCTTTTGTTCAATGAGTCAAGCTCTTATTGAATCGCATTTTCCCATTTTCGCCAGTCATTTCTTTGCCGACATTCATTAACCGATTTTGGCTCTGGATCCTCGTTTTATTCAATTATATCAAGTGTTAAACTGTATGCGAAGGCATTATCAATAATTGCCTCTTTACGGTTCCAACATTTTCTTGAAGTAACATAGTTAATTGAGTTTTCAATAATCTCATCATGTTCTTCAAGATCGTGCTCTTCTGGAGCAATTATTTCAGGGTTGACTTCCTCATTAGATTAAGGTTTATCAATGTCATTCCTGATATTTTCATGAATATCATCATTAATTCCTCTTTTCTTTCGAGGATGTTTGTTTTTGGAACCAAGTGGTCTACTACGCTTCAAGCGTGTCGCCGATTCATTAACACTTCCAATTTGTCAATTAGGGACAATTATTTTAGCCGGAGCATTAGCAGTTTGAATATACGATCGAATGACTTTACTCGAGTCATTGAATGCATCTCGTAACTGATTTGCAATATTTTGCAAATGTATAATGAGTTGAACTTCTAGTTCACACTGCTTTGTACGATGATCACGAAAATTCAATGGGATTTTCCAATTAATATCCCTTTTTGGTTCATTTCTGTCTCTCCCTAATGTCGGAAAATATAATTCATCAAAATGACAATCTGCAAATCTTGCAGTGAATAAATCACCCGTCATAGGTTTAAGATATTTTAGAATTGACGGCGATTTATATCCGACATAAATGCCCAATCTACGTTGAGGACCTATTTTTGTACGTTTGGGGGATGGAATAGGAACATAAACAACACACCAAAAAATACGTAGATGAGATATATTTGGTTCGTGACCAAATACTAATTGCATAGGGGAATAGCTATGATAGCTTGTCGGCCTCATTCTTATAAGTGTTCCTGCATGTAAGATTTCATGCCCCCAAGCTGAAACGGACAACATAGACCTCATTAGTAATGGTCTAGAAATCAATTGCAATCTTTTAATAAGTGATTCTGCTAGGCTATTTTGTGTATGAATATGAGCAACTGGATGCTCTACATTAATTTCAATCGACATGCAATAATCATCAAATGCATTCGATGTATATTCACCAACGTTATCCAGACGTATAGTCTTAATTGGATTATCGGGGAATTGTGCCCATAATTTAATAATTTGGGCAAGCAATCTCGCAAATGCCATATTGCTAGTAGATAATAAACAGACATGCGACCATCTGGTAGATGCATCAATAAACACCATAAAATATTTAAATGGCCTACATGGTGGGTCTATTGGTCCACATATATCCCCATTTATTCTTTCCCAAAATGTAGGTGATTCAATACCTACTTTAGCTGACGATGGTCTGGTTATAAATTTTCCCTGAGTGCAGGCAACACAGGTTAACTCATTTGAGTTTAACACTTTTTGACCTTTTAATGAATGGCCATGCGAATTTTCAATTATTCTTCTCATCATTATACTGCCAGGGTGCCCAAGGCGATCATGCCATATTTGAAAATCAGTAGTCTTTTGATCTACCGTGAGGTGTGTTTCAACAACACCTAATATGGCATAATATAAGCCAGTAGAGAGTGAAGGTAATCTCTCAATGATGCATTTATTTTTATCAATGATATTGGTGATCAATAAAAATTCACCATCGGTATGACTCATAGTTTCAATGTGATAACCATTTTTCCGAATGTCATGAAAGCTCAGTAAATTTCTTCGAGTTTTAGTGGCCAACAGTGCATACTGTATCACAATTGTTGTCTCCACGGGGAGAAATATAATGGCTTCTTCAGAGCCTTCAATTAATTTCGCACTGCCACTTATTGTATTGACATTAATCTTTTCCCTTTTCAAATGGGAGAAATATTTTTCGTATTTCAATATAGTATATGTCGTTACACTGTAAATGAAACACATATTTGCATCATTTTGATTGGCATCCATTTAACCTTCAAATATAAATAAACGCAGTATTAATAAAGGCAGATATAAGTATTACAAAATACATTACAAAAAGGTAATATGCGATAATTTAAATATTACAAAATATAAAATGACATAATATGTCTATC